TGCCATTTTCTGTTCCCATCAGCAATGTGTGAGGTTTTCAGTTTTTCCACATCCTTACAACACTGGTTATTTTCTGTTAATTTTATTTTATTTTAGCCATGGGTGTGAAGTGGTATCTCATTGTTGTTTTTAACTTGTATTTCCTACTGCTAATCATGTTGACCATTTTTTAGGTGTTTATTGGTTATTTGTATAACTTCTTTGGAAAAATGTCTATTCAAATAATTTGCCAATTTTTGAATGGGGTCCTATGTCTTTTTGTTGTTGAGTTCTAAGAGTTTGTTATATGTCTTAGATAGTAGATATATGGTATATAAATATTTTCTCTCATTCTGTAGGTTGCCTTCGCTTTCTTGATAGTGTCTTTTAATGTACAAAATTTTTAATTTTGATAAAGTCCAATCTATGTATTTTTAATTTTGTTGCTTGAGCCTTTGTGTCATATCTAAGACTCTATTTCCAAATCTAGGGTCACCGAGACTTATCCTTATATTTTATTCTGAGAGATTTATTGTTTTAGCTCTTATATTTAGGTCTTTGACACATTTTGAGATAATTTTTGCATTGTTGTGAGGTAAAGGCCCAAATTCTTTTCTTTTTTTTTTTTGCATCTGGTTATATAGTTATTATGGTATCATTTGTTAAAGACCATTCTTTTCCCATTGTCTTGCCAATGTTGTCCAAAATCAATTGAATGTAGATACATGGGTTTATTTTTGGACTGTCAGTTCTATTTCTTTGACTTATATGTTTATCTTATGCCACTCCTCCACTGTTTTGATTCCTGTAGCTTTGTAGTAAGTTTTGAAATTGGGAAGTATGAATCCCCCATCTTTGTTCCTCTTTTTTAAAGCTGATTAGGATTTTAGGGGTCCCTTGTAACTCTATACGAATTCCAGGATCAGTTTGTCCATTGCTGCCAAAATACACAGTTGGTATTTTGATAGAGATTGCATTGAATCAGATATAGATATGCATTGAATTCTTGGTTCTCATGTTTTTCCTTTTAGTACCTTAAAGGTGTTGTTCTTTCTCCTTCTGGCCTTCCTGCTTTCTGATGAGAAATCTGCAGTCATTCATGCCAGAAAGTAACACACAAAGGGTCTTTGGCCCACACTCGGGAGACCACAGCTCCTCTGTGTCCCTCCGAGTTTTGGCACCAGCCAATATCATGCCTCCACTTCATTGTTGCATGGGGGCTGGAGTGGGAGATTGCGGGGGAGGGAGAGGGAGAAGAAGAGCAAAATAAAACACAATATAGTCAACTTTTTCTAACTCAGTTGGTCTCTTTCCTCTTCTTCAGGACAGAAATAATAGGTTTCTCTTGGAACTCTTTCTATTCTCATCTTTTATGTACTTCTGGATTTTGGGCTCTCTTCAGGCCAGATAACACTGAAGGGGAAAAAATGGTAACCTTACCACTGGTTGGTAAGAACTTTGAATTCTGGTATCTTTCTCTAGTCTGTTGAGTGCCATTCACTTTTCAGTGTCCTCGGACTGCTAGCTGCTGTCCGAAGTCTGTGTGAGTTTGATCATCGCATTTAATGGGAGAGACAAGGTGGGCTATGTTTGCTTCATCTTGCTGGAACTGGAATCTCTTAAACTGATATTTAAGAAGTCCTTATAATATATGGATACTAATCTTCCCTGGCCCTTGTCTTTAAATTTTCAGAAGTTACATCTTAAACTGAAGTTTTACATATTATTATAGTCAAATATATCAATCTTTTCCTTTATGGATTAGATGTTTGTGTTTTATTTAAGTAATACTGAGTTCATAAAGATATCCTCATATATATTTTCTTCCTCTTATGGCTTCTTCTAAAAGTTTTAAAATTTTCATTTTTATATTTATGTCTTTTGAACACCTGGAATTTATGTTTTCTAGATGGTGTGAAGTAGACATCTGATTTTTTTCCCCAAGTGAATATCCTAGTACCATTTACAACATAATTCACTCTTTTCCTACTGATGTTTAGGGCCATTTCCTCTGTCATATGTCAAATTGTCAAAAATATGCAGTTTTCTGGGCTCTTTGTTCTATTTTATTGTCTGTTGTATATTCCTTCTCAGTTATCTTGTTGGATTAACTATTGAAGATTTAGAAGAAGCTTTGACATCTGGTAGGGCAAGTTATCGCCCTATCTTTCTCAAGATTGTCTTAGCTTTTCTTGACATTTAATCTGTAATGTGAATTTTAGGATAAACTTATGAAGTTAAAAAAAAAAGCTGGTGGGGATTTTCATTGGAATTGCATTAAATTAATACACTAATTTTGGAATAATTGATATTTTTACAAGCTTGAAACTTCCTGTCTGTAAACATGATATAACTACCCATTTATTGAAGTCTTCTTCTAGGTTCTTTAATAATAATGTTTGGTAATTTTCTTCAGAGAGCACATCCTTCATTAGATTTATTCCTGGATACAGGATTATTTTTGTTTTGACTGTAAATATCATGTATTTTTTTTTCCTATTAGATTTCCTTGCTGAGCTTTACTATTAGTTTTTATTTTTTTTATTTTAAAGATATTATTTATTTATTTTGGAGAAGGGAAGGGAGGAAGAAAGGGAGGGAAACATTAATGTGTGGTTGTCTCTTGCATGCCCCTTACCGGGGACCTGGCCCGAAACTCAGGCATGTGCCCTAGACCTTCGACCCTTTGATTTGCAGGCCAGCGCTCAATCAACTGAGCTGCACCAGCCAGAGCTAGTTTTAATAGTTTGTCAGTTAACTTTTTCCTATATACTATCATATTATCTGCAAATAAAGGTAGTTTTTCCTTTACCCCCACCCCTGAATTCTTATATATCTTCTTCCTTTTCCTTCTTTTATTGTATTGGCTAGGACCGGTAGTAGTTGAGTAGAAGCAGTGATAATAGGCATCTTCATCTACTTCTTGACTTAATGGCAATGTTTTTAAGTTTCACTACAAAAATGATTTTAACTCTAAGTTTGGTACACAACTTCGGTCAAGTTAAGGACATTGACTTCTGTTTCTATATTTTTTAAGTCGTCAGTCTGACTTTTCTTAATTCTTTCTTATGGGAAAATTAAAACACACACAAAAGTAGGCAGCCTAATATAATAACCCCCTGTCTATATAATAAACCCCTGTAATAGGTAGACCCATTCCACAGCCTCAATGACTGTTGGCTTATGGTCAGTCTAGTTTTATCTGTATCTCTGCTAAATTCTTCCCCTTCTGTGTTACCTGAAACAAATACCAGACATTGTTACCTCATGCTATCTATACATATTTCTGTGTGTATCCCTAAAAGATAAGAATTCTTTTTTAAAGAGGAAAACAACCATAATATCATTATCAAACTAATTTAACAATAATTCCTTCACCTTATTAATTGTACATCCATGTTCACATATCCAATTTTATGAGTATTGAATTTAACAAATATTTTTCTGAATCCATTGTGTTGCTTAAGTGGGTTTGTCTTCTTTGATCTGTTTAAGTAGTGTACTTTAATTGAGTTTCTAATGTCGAACCATTCCATCCTTGAATTACTGAGATCAACACAACGAGGTTATGCTTTATTTGATATATTCATGTCCCTGAATTTAATTTGCTAGTGTTTTATTTAGAAGCTCTGTATCTATGATAATAAATGACATTGCTCATAATTTCTTTTTGTGCTCATTGGGTTTTGGTATCAATGTTAAGAATCTTACAAAGTGAGTTGGGTAGCTGAATTTGTCAAGGTAAAAACTAAGCTCCTATAACAAAAACCTACCTAAATATAGTTGATTAAATAAAATAAAAATGTACTTCTCATCCATGGTCTGGAAATGAATGGTCTAGGCCGGTGGTACGTATCTCCTTCACATAGTCATTTGGAGACTCAGACTTTTTTCATTTTGTGTCTCTGCCAGCTCCTAAATCTTCCTATATATGGCCAAAGGTGGCTCAGCTCTGTGACTGCGTTCCAGCCCACGGGGAGGGAAAACAGAGAAAGTGGAGAACAAGCAATTACCTTTTTTAAAAAATATTTAATTTATTTATTTTTAGACAGAGGAGAAGGAGGGAGAAAGAGAGAGAGAGAAACATCAATGTCTGGTTGCCTCTCGCACGCCCCACATGGGGGAGCCTGGCCCGCAACCCAGGCATGTGCCCCAGCTCGGAATTGAGCCAGTGACCCTTTGGTTCACAGGTCAGTGCTCAATCCACTGAGCCACACCAGCCTGGGCACAAGCAATTATCTTTTAAGTAAGTATTGTGTTTCCTAAAATTCATATGTTGAAGTGTTAACTCCATTAGTTTAGGATGTGATCATATTTGGAAATAGTGTTATTGTAGATAAAGTTAGTTAAGATGAGGCGATACTGGAATAAGGTGGGCCCCTAATCCAGTGTGACTGGTGCCCTCATAAAAAGGGGAAATTTAGACATAGACACCCCACAGACAGAATGCCATAGCATGAAGACAGAGGCCAGCCAAGGAATACCACAGCTGGCCAGCAACCATCAGGAGCTAGGAGAGAGGGATGGCAGAGGTTTTCCCTCATAACCCCCAGAAGGAACCAACCCTGATGACATCTTGCTATCAGACTCCTAGCCTCCAGAACTGTGGGCGAATAAATTTCTGTTGCTTAAGTCACCCTGTTTGTGGCACATTTCCTGCAGCCCTGGGGAACTAATACAAATGCTGGAGAAATAGCACATCATTTCAGCTCATAATTAAAGATGAGAATTTAATCATATGACCACACCTAGGGAGGTTGGGAAATGTAGCCTGTGGGTCAGCAACCCTGTGTCCTGCAAAACATCTCATTAGAAGGAGGATTTGGGAGGACGACTGCCACAGGAACTGAAAACATTTGTTTAAGAGAGTTTATTTGTGCCTTAAAGATTCAAGAAAATGAGTTTCTAAAATCATTTGAGCCAGATTATCTTTTAGGATGATAAACCTTTGATTATTAACTCTCTGTTCTGTTTTCAGTTCACAGCAACATTAGTCTTGTTTTTGAGTCCAGCTATGTGTATTGGGTTATCTTTTAAAATGTTTCTTATTCATCATGGCTTTGTGGTTGGAATAGAGAACTCAACACTCTTTTTTTTTTTAATTGAGATATAATTGACATATAACATTATATTAGTTTCAGGTATACAACGCAATGATTTGATAGTTGTATATATTGCAAAATAATCACTACAATAAGTTTAGTTGACATCCGTCATCATGCATAGTTACAATTTTTTTCCTTTTGATGAGAATTTTTGAGATTTACTCTCTTAGCAACTTTCAAATATACAATACAGTGTTGTTAACTACAGTCACCAGGAAGTATGTTACATTTCCAGGACTTATTTATCTTTTAACTGGAAATTTGTACCTTTTGAGCCCCTTTACTCATTGCTTCCCGCCTCTGGCAACTACTAATCTATTCTCCGAATCTATGAGTTCAGCTTTTCTAGATTCCACATATAAATGAGATCATACAGTATTTGTTTTTCTGTCTGGCTTATTTCACTGAGCATAATGTCCTCAGGGGTCATCCATGTTGTCACAAATGGCAGCATTTCCCCCTTTTTATAGCTGAGTAATATTCCATTGAATATATACAGCACAACTTTTATATCAATTTGTCCATTGATGGACACTTAGGTTACTTCCACATCTTGGCTATTGTGAATAATGTTGCAATGAACATGCGGGTGCAGCTATTTTTTCGAGATAGCGATTTTGTTCCCTTAAAATACCCAGAAGTGGAATTACTGAATCATACAGTAGTTCTATTTTTAATGTTTCAAGGAATGTCCACACTGTTTTCTACAGTGGCTGCACCACGTACACTGCTCCATCTTGACCAGAAGTGCAGCAGGATCTGCCTGCTTGGGAGACTGTCACCAGTTCTGGCTGGACACCAGGGAAATGGTAGCAGACAGGCTAGGTGGAGCTAGTGGAGAGATTTACACACGCACAAACTCAGACTTCGTCCTCTAGGTAATGGATGGATGATGAACAATTGCATGCAGGCAAGTAAAATGATTTTGCACGTATGCACTTGAGACATACTTCTCTGGCTAAACTGGAGAAATCAGAATGAAGAAGAGCCATATGAAGCCAGAATTACCAACTGGGAAGAAATACCAATAATCTGGGTGAGACTTGCCAAGGGCCCACAAGGGCAAGTGATAGTGGGGCTGGTGAGACTGAGGACATCAACTTGGGAGATAAATAGGAAGTGTCAGATTGGATGGATGTCAAGGATGATGTTTAGTTCCTGGAAAACTGGTGGAAGGTGGTGCAACCTTCTGAGGTTGCACAGGAATGCAAGGGAAGGAGCAGGTTTGTGGGAATTCATATTATTTCACAATTGTGCCAGTGGCTGGTTCTGCATGTTCTCTCCCAAAATTGTGGTCCCATGACTCACCTGACAGAGGTGTGTTCTTGAGTCCCTGTGTATGAGGCCTCGAACCTGGGGAGACAAGGATGGGCAGGGCAGCAACTGGGACAGGGGCCACTCTCAGGTGGTGGCTCTTTGGAGTGGGCATTCATCAGTGTGGGAAATGCTAGTCCTCAGGGTGTGTGGGTACCCAGATTCTACCAGCTTGGGTCTCTGAGAAAACTAGGGGGTGGGGAGCAGAGAGGGTCAAGCACAAGAGACATAAATAGATACATGATAGAGAACAATAAACAGACTTATGACAAGGAATTCCAGTCTTTCTTTTCTTCTGGTCAGTCAGATTTCAGTCCTTTACTCCCTGGCTAGCAACTTTTGCTTCTAAATGACTTCTATTACCTGGGATCAGCCTCCTATTGTAGATCTCCACCTCCCGGCCCCCCTCCCCCAGCAAGGAGCAGATCATTAGAGAATTCAATGGCTGAATACAAAGGAGTCTTGGGGTCAGGAGCATACACTCTGCTTCTCAGAGATTGCACACAAGATGATCAGGACGTCAGCCTTGTCTCTTGCTTCTGCTCCTTCTCCTCCACCCACTCTCCATCTCTCCCTGAACTTCGAGTCTCCTCAGCTCCCAGTTAGAGGGACTGGTGTTGCAGCCCTCCCCCTGCCCAGGCTCTTATCCGACTTGGTAGCAGCCTGAGCAGGTGGCAGAAGCCCCTCACCAGAGTCCGGGGTTCCTAGAGGAGTCAGCGCAGACCCTAGAAGTTTACTTGTGAACAGCCGCGCAGGAAGCTGCCAGCGGGGAACAAGCTGAAACATCACTCTCTCTCTACACCTCACCCTAAGCTCTTAAGGAAACAGATGTGTCCCACTGTCACAGTCTTGCTCACACTTTTTCTTATTGTGTATCTTAGGCAGAAACAGAATAATCGGATGTTAGGACCTGTGAAATAATAATCCAACCCCTGCCTTTCATACATGAGGCCCAGGGAGGTTAAATCACTTACTCAAGGTCAAACCAGGAACATTTCACTAGGCTCCCCCTCCCTGTCCCACCCCTGGCCCCCAAAGGGCTGTTGGTACTGCTGTGAGGAGAGATACTGACGACCTGTGCGGGCGGGCCGAGTGCCCCCTGGGCCCTGCGCACAGGCAGCGCAGGCTCTGAGCTTGGGGTCCACACGTCTCTGTGTAGCCGTGAACACGGGACAGGCTGCTCGCCTTCAGCGGGCCTCAGCCCTGCAGGCCCCTGCACCTGGGATTGAAAGAATGAATAGGGACCTTGTTTGGTAGGAATTTCTTTCCTCTGCTGTTTGCTTTGGGTTTTTTCCCTCTCCATTCCTGGCTGCTAACCCAATATTTGGTTTTCTGTGAGCACTAAATATAATTCTTCATTTAACCCCCAGAATCATGGTTTCCTACCTGCTTCCCACGACCGGATCCGCAACGCGGTATGAAAACAGAACCCAGAGGGCATCAGGGCTGAGGGGGCAGCGGTTCCGGAGAGGGGAGGAGCAGGGGCGGGTGGCTGGGGGGAGGGGGAGAGGGAGCACTCACCCACGCTGGCTATCTCTTAAGACAGTTCGAGAAAGGGAGGGAATCAGGGAGGGAGCGACTCATTGACTCCTGACCCGGCTTCCTCGCATCCAGGGCCTGGATCCTCTCCTCCCAGCCGCGAAGGAGGCCTGGCCCACAGCACCTCTGCACACGCCAGCATTCCAGGGTCAGGGAATAGTAAGGTCAAACTGGGGCACAGTGAAAACAAACAAAGCCTACTCCCTAAGCTGGCCAGCCCTGGGTCCCCGCCACTCCTCCTGCGGCACCCCCCCCACCCCGCCCCCCAGCCCCGGCCTGTAGGCCAGCTGCAGCCCTTTTGGACTGAGGGCCTCGGTGCGGCCCGCACCTTCCGGCTCTCCTCGCCCAGAGCAGTCTCGGCAGCAGCAGGCAGGGAGAGCTAACGCGAACCGAGCAGTGGAAAATTCCCCTCCCAGGCCTCCCGGGAGGCGCGGTTCCAGCAGCTGCTATTGAACACCAGGGCTTGTTAGGCACCTGGCTTTCAGGTCCCCCACCGGCTAAGCTCCCCAGCCAGGGACGAGGTGGCCGGGCGGGGGAAGGAGAGCCAGGAGCCCTGCTCTCCAGCACGGGTCCCTGCTAGCGCCTGGGAAAACTTCCTCTTACACCAGACGCGGTTTCCAGATTTGGGAGCCCGTGGCAGTACATTCCGTCTCCCTCTGGTTGAGCAGGAAAACCGGAGACGGCGCTTCCTACCACCTGATTTACAGCCTTGGCGTATTTTTGACACACAAATCACTCTGGAGAGGGAGCTCAATTATGGCTGTGCAGAGGCGACGCAGGCAGGAGCGCTTCCTGCCAGGCGGGCAGGGCGCGCTCATGTTGCGCCTCCGGCTAAGGACAGGTCGGACCTGGAGGTGGTGGAGCCCCCTTCCTGGCTGAACCGCTGTCCAGTCCTTCCCGCCCCCACCTCCTGCAACGCGGCTGGCGCCCCAGTGGGCCGTGTCCGAGCCTGGGGTCCGCGATGGATGGCAGGGCAGAGGCGAAAGGTTACAAAGGCCATGCTAATTTTCCTCTGTCCCTTTGTCCCCTTCCGGGGCTGCCCTCGCCTTATTTCTTCACACGTGTCTGTGAAGCACTGGCCAGGCGCTGGGCACTGTGGTAGGAGACGGGACCGCAGAAGCCTGAAACAAGGGCAGAATGTAATTAGTGCCATCAAACTGTTACAGGTAAGGAGGGTACCTAGGATTTAAGATACCTCTTGGCAGCGGGCAGAGGAGGCTTCAGGCTGGTAATAGTAACGATTGTGCCCCGGGCAGGAGACAGACTCTCTAGAGAGAAGACTCAGTCCCTGATGTGGGTCCCTGATGTGGGTCCCTGAGGTAGGTCTATGGGGGTTTCCCAAAGGACCTCAGATCTAGAACTTCCCTCTCAGCTTCCTCTCCATATCCCTCCCCCAAGGAGAGCCTTCCTAGAGCACTCTTATTTTTTTAAAGATTTTATTTATTTACTCTTAGAGGAGGGGAAGGGAAGGAGAAAGAGAGGAAGAGAAACATTGATGTGTGAGAGAAACATCCATTGGTTGCTTCTCTCACGCCCCCCAGCCATGGACTTGGCCCCACAACCCAGGCATGTGCCCTGACCGGGAATTGAGCCGGTGAACTTTTGCTTTTCAGGCCAGCACTCAATGCACTCAATCCACTGAGCCACACCAGCCAGCGGTGGGCTCATTCTTGGTTCAGGTGGTCTGCTGCCTGATACCTGGTTTCCCTGCGCCCCACCCCACCCCAGCCCCTACCCCATCCAGACCAGGGGGAGGTCTCCCCTCTGCCCTCCATGGGACACGGTATGGGTTCTGCTTCATTCCAGTCTCACATCAATAGAGGGCTGATTACGTCCCAGCTGATGACCTGGGTGCCGGGAACACAAAGATGAAGGAGAAAGAAGATCTCTACCCTTGAGGTTGTCACAGCCCATTAACATTTGGATAGCGCTTTCCAGGTTACAAAGCACTCAGACTTGCTGCACTTGGCTTTCCTCTCACAGGTCTGGGAGAGGGGTGGGTGGGTATTGATCGAAATGACTCCCCGTAGAGACAGGTGACACAAAGCTGAGGCTCTCCTCACATTCCTGCCATCAGCTAGCGGGACCTGCTTTCAAGTCCCCTCTTGTCACAGCGATTCCCGCATGAAAGACCATCCTCACTGGGTTGTTGTAAAGATCAAATGTGTGACACGGCACACATCTGGCACGTAGAAGGCCCACGTTCAGGTTAGTTTTTCTTTTTTTCTTTTTGGGTGTAGGAACCTGTTGTATGTGTATGTGAATCTCGCTGAACACTGATTCCAATGGAAATTCCTGCTTCTATCCTTCTGCCCTGGCCTTGGTTCTTTCTGAAGGTGAGGGAGGCTGGGATCAGGGGGAGGAGGTGGAAGGTGCCGCCCACAAGGTGGGAGAGACATCTGGGGCTTTATTCACACAGGAACCGCATCCTCTGCATCCTCTGCTCATCCCAGTGGGCAGAGGCCGGGGCAAGTTGGTATCCTGTCCCGCCTGCTGGCGGAGGCAGCTTGTGGATTTGGTGACAGATGCCTCTGAGGAGATGAATGAAGCAATTGTGCACTGGGTGTAGAAGAGATCCCAGATAGAAGAGATGTTTTCAATGCCAATAACCCTGAGACGGAGGATTTCACCGAGTCAACAAACAGAGTTACAGGCGCCGGCTTCCCTTTGATGGTCCTGTGAGCACTTGTACGCCTCCAAAGCGGTTCTTGACACAGATGGACCATGTTCAAAAGCTTTTATTCTCTCCTTCATTTTAATCACCCCTCCTACCACCTGGAAGGATTCCTGACTCAGATTCTTGGACGACTCAGGCAGCTAACGGAATCTTGGTGGGTGAGGTCCCAAACCAGAAAAATAGTTTTGACATAGCTCCATAGATGCCCCTCTTGGCTCAGCACTGGTTTTCAGAAACATCTGACGAGCGGATTAAAAGAAGTCTTTGAGAAGTTTGAGGGCTTTGTGGGGAGAAGAGCCCTCCTCACTGGCTGATCAGAGGTGAAGAGGATAGCTAAGGGCTGGCTGAGTGTAGAGATAGATTTGCAAAATGTTTGCTTGGTGAATATTGCATTTTTCAACATTTTTCTCTGGAAGCTTGAGGTAAGGGTGGGTGGGTCAGAGTGATGGAGGAGCCCGAGAGGTGTGGCCCTGGCTTGTCGTCAGTGAAGGGCAAGACAAGCAGTACGAGGCCCTCCTTGATGCTGTTGAGAACTGTGTGTGAAAAGCATTTAGCATGAAGCAGTCCTGGCGGACAGTAGAAAAGCAGCCAGAATGGCTGGGAGTTGGCAGGGCTGGGGGCGTAGAAGGTGCGATTTAGAAACTGGTGGGGGAGGCAATGCTGGCCAGGAGACATCTGGGGCAAACACTGCCTTCTCTTCCAAGGATTTAGAAGCCTATTCCATTCTGCTTTAAGAAGGTATTCTGAGACCAAGTGTTCTGGTAGCCCCAGAGATTGCTCCGGGATTGCTGGGAGAATGGGTGAACTTGGCAGTGGAGAGGGTGCTCTAGCCCTAAGGTTCTCTGGGTGGCACCTTGGTTCTCAAGCCAGCACCTTTCATTGACACCACAGCCAGGCAGGCACTATGATGGCTCTGAGGGGAGAGAGAGAGCAAGGTCAGAAACAGAAACTGTAATTAAATCTTTTTTTACCCACCCTAACTCCCAGCAGGAATTTATTCTTGGTGCTCAGTGAGGGGGAAGAGAGAGTAGAATATATGAGCAAAAAGGCTGCTTTTGACCTTGTGGCCTTCCTGGTGATTGGGTGGAGAGGTTTTTATATTGAAGAAGAGATTTCTTTGAGCATCTTCTGAAAATAGTGACAAGGATGTCTAGTTTGACCCTTTCCAGATTCTACTGCCATTTCGGGGCAGAGAGAAGGCCAAAGCATTGAGCGTTGGCATTCTCCAGCTAATTCCAGTTGCTGGATCTTCTTTCTTTGGATCTCAGGTTGAGTGTGGACAATATCCTGCCAGGCTAACTGGAGTCACCCCACTCGTGTGGGCGGGGGCAGGTGTGGCCACGGTCAGCCAGGGACTTCTGTTTTCCCGATTGGTGGCCTGTGCTTTGGCTGAGGAGGTCTTGGAAACGTGCTCCATCAGCAGCTCCTCCTCTTCCCCCAGAGTCAGACCAGAGTGGGAACTCCAGGTGTGAGGATGCTGAGTGAGAAAGCAGAGGCAGAAGATTAGCTGCTTTGCCAGCACTCCCTCTCCGGTCCTTCCTTCCAGGGGCTGCCGGGAAAAGCGGCCTATTCCTCCTGCCGCATCCCCCTGTGTGTTCTCCACTCCATCAGCCCCGAGGCCATCTCCTCTTTCCCCCACATCGGAGCTGGGGCCAAGGAAGCGTGGCCAAGTGTGCAACTTGGTCTGGTCTCCTGCGGAAAGGATTCCAGCATCTCCCACTTGACAAAAGCCAAAGGCTACAAGAAATAGAACATGGGGTTCGACTTCTTGGAGCTGGGACTGAAAACACTTCACCTTCAAGAAGAAAAATTACCAGCCACTCAGGGAGCAGCCTCCAAAATGAAGACTTAGGATCCTGTTCTCTTGCTCCGGCTGCTCCTTGGGGCAAAATTCTCTTCCACTTGCATTCTTATAAAAAAGAAGTCTCCATTTCATTGGGGGCGTCTCCCCCATTCCGTTCCTTCCTCCTGGAACTCACCCCTTCCCTCTCCTCCGCGGCACCTGTGGAGCCAGCTGGAGCCTGAAGCGTTTCCCACATGTGTATATGCAATTTCCTTTCCACAATTAATAGTTAGTCATCCTGACCGTGGCAACACGTGTGACTTCGCTGGCATCTCAGCTGGGGACGAATGGGCTGCGGAGAGGAGGAGAGTTTGGGCAGAGCCCTACCCCTTGATGCTGGCCAGCCCTGCCCTCACATCGAGGGTGCCTCCACTCCTCACCCTCCGCCTCCAACCACCCCTCAGTCCTGTTGTCTTGTTCTGTTTAATACATCTTTGTCTATCCTCTCCTCTCCGTCCCTGCCACTGTCACCTTGGCGGAGGCTGCCCAGATTCTTGCAGTAGCCTCTGCCCAACCCCCTTGCTCCTTCGTGACATCCCCATGCTGAGACCAGAGTGATTCAGCTGAGACCTGGGACCCAGCAAGCCCTTTTCTAAACTTCAGTGTGGCTGCGCCATCCCCTACTTGGAGTCCCCACAGTCTTGACAATGACATCCAAGGGTTCAGTGTGACCCTTCTGAGCACTGTGA